TGCCCGTGGGTGCTCAGTGGTGGCCGGTGGCCGGTGGCCTGGTTGACTCCTGCTGGCCCACAGCCTTGCACTGGGCCCAGGAAGGAAAGTGCTCACACTGGCCCTCCTGCTGTAGGCGCCGGGCTCAGAGCCATCACCTCGGTTTCTCTGCTGAAACTACTCCGCGTGGTGGGTGTCCTTCCATTGATGGGGAAACAGGCTCAGAAGGTGAGAGCCTGACGGGAGGGGCTGGCTCCGCCACATCGAGGGAGGACACCATTGGGTGCCGTTGCCCCTGGAGCTCTTCCTCACACCCCGTGTGCGAGGCTCAGTGAGGGTGTGTGTGTGTGTGTGTGTGTGTGTGTGTAGGTGTGTGCGTGTGTGTGTGTGTGTGTGTGTGTGAGTGTGTGTGGCGGAGAGGCCTCTAGAAGATACACAGGCCCAGGCCCTGTCCTTGGGGGGTTTACCATGGAGGGCTGCCTCCTTGGACCCGCTTCTCCTGACTTGCGGGGTGACTTCGGGCCAGGCCCCTCTCTCCCTGGGCTAATTTCTCGGAGAGAATGAGGGAGTTGGCAGGATGGCTCCGGATTTCCCCATCACACCCATCACATTCACCCTTTGAATTTCAAAGATTCCAGCCGGTTGTCTGCCCTCTGTGTGTGTCTGTCTGTGGCTCAGAAAACCGTCACCATCACCTTCCCTCTCGCTGCTGCTATGAGACTGCAGGCTGCCCGCTTTGGACCCGGCACAAGTAATTAAGCATGTGCGCGGTTCAAGGTCCCAGGCCTGTCTCCCTGCCCGGACTGTGTGCCAGCAAAGACGGGGACCCTGTCTGTCTCGTCTCTGTCCTCCCAGCGATTAGTTCAGGGCCGGGCACAGAGTAGGTGCTCAGCAAATAGAGTCGCTGTTGTGATGATGGTGGTGATGGTGATGATGATGAAGGAGAATGAGCTGGAGAGACATCTGCTGGAGCCAGGGCCGGGCACAGAGTAGGTGCTCAGCAAATAGAGTAGCTGTCGTGATGATGGTGGTGATGGTGATGGTGATGATGATGAGGGAGAATGAGCTGGAGAGACAGCTGCTGGAGTGAAAGGAGCCCGAGCCGGGCAGCAGGCAGCCAGCGCCCTCAGCCCTCCCCACTAGCTGGCTGCGGAGGCTCCCGATTTCCCCTAGAGAAGCCCAGACTCCCTAGTCTTCAGGCCGTACCCCTGTGAGGAGAACTACAATCCCCAGAAGGCCGCGAGGGGCGGTTCCGTGGAGTGTAGCATGATGGGAGTTGTAGTTTAGGTAACTGCCCCCCTGCTGCAGCCGGGTGTGTGCAGAGCAGCTGGGCAGCTTGTTGCCCGCCGGGCTTGCGGTTGGGGGGTGGAGGGTGGGATCCCTGGACAGCCCCTTAGCGTTCTCCTGGGAGCCCCTTAAGGGTGACCCCCCCCCCACCCTCCTCACAAACGTCAGCCCCCTGGGCGTCTGATCCTGCTTTAAAACCCGAGATCTCACTGAAACCCTTCCCGCTTCCGCTAAGTGATTGTCAACGGTGTGTCTGGCCCTTTGGGGCTTTGGGGTACAGCAGTGACAGTCAGGGAGGGCGTGAGACATGCATCCATTAATAGCACATCAGATGACCCCCACCGAGTCCAGGGGGGGCGGCACAGGGGTCTGAATGAGGTCCCGGACCATGACATGCAGACGGGGCCTGGGATGGCCAGGTCAGGAGCAAGGGAAGGGGTCCCCTGCGGAGGAACAGCACAAGGGAGGGCTCTGGGGCCAGAGGGGAGTTGGGGCTTTTGGAGAAGCCCAAGGGGGGAGGCTGGAGGGCAGAGAGCAAGCGGGGAGGGGGCATGTGAGAGAGCTGGTGAGCCCAGTCCCAGCATCTGAATGACCTGGGACCACAGTCCATTGGGTCTGGAATGAATGGGTGATGGTTTCTCAGGCAGGATGGTTGGCCCGAGCTTGACCAGGGGTCAGTGGCAGAGCCCAGGGACCCTCTTTCCAGGTCCTGGCTGCTCCCTGGGGGCAGGGGCTGTCCCCGGAGTCAGGCAGGAAGTGGGGGTGGGGGAAGGCACAGGACCCTGGCTACTGGGAGGGAAACTGAGATGCAGCAAATGTCTTCCCAATGAGCTTCTGTGTGAGATCCCAGAGCAGCCCTTTCCCCCTCAGACTCTTCAACTGTCAGGGACCAGCCCTGGAAAGTGGGGGAGGGTCATTTTCACACCCTCCCCCACCCAGATGTGGCAGAAACAGGAAGGACTCAGCCAGATGTTGGGGGTCCTCAGGCCCAGGAGGTTGCCTGTGGGCGGGAGCGGCCGATTGTTTGGAGCTCTGCTGGTGAAAACGAGCCCTGGTAGCGTCACGGCTCTGGCGTTCCCCCCTCTGGCCCTGAAGCCCGCAGACCCAGGGGACATGCTCCCGGACTCCGGTCACGTCTGAAGGGAGAGGCGGAGGCCCGGGCCTCAGTGCTGAGGGCACCTGGGCTCTGCTTCCATGGGGACCTTGACAGGTTGCTCTCGGCCTGTTCTCCATCCCCTCTGCCCGGACCTGGACGCCCTCCCTGGCACCGCGGGCCGCTGGCCTTCTGGGCAGAGAGCCCATCGGGAATGAATCCTCGGAGCCCCATCGGAGCGGCGGGTCTGTGCTCTGTGTGAGGACGGCATCTCCTGTGGCCTCGTCCCCAGACCAGAGGCCTGGCTGGCTGTGGTGTGTCTCTGATTAATAAAAAATAGGAAGCCAATCATTTACCCCTTCAAAAGTGCAAGCCAGAGGGCAGGAGAAATGTCTCTCATGGCGTGGGGGCCTCGTCTCTGAGGAGAGACTGGGACACATGGCAAGTGTTGGTCTTTGACCGCCCCCCCCCCCCACACTTCTGGTGGGAACTGCACGTTTGTGCTGAAACGGAGGGGGCCTGAATAGCTCAGGTAAACGCGGTGTGGTGTGCGGGACCACGGGGAGGGGGGACCCGGGGGCCTGCCCCGCAGAGGCCCTTCCCCAGTGGGGCTCCCAGGCTCCTGCAGAACGGCAATGTCTCCACCCGAATGCTCACCCCTTTGGTGGGATTTGGGGCTGATACCATGGAAACCAGATGGCTTCCCCAGTGCCTGCTGTCTGGCTGCATCGGGATCTCCCGGGCTGGTGAAGGTAGACCTGGCCCCTCCAGCTCCGAGGTCCCCTGCAGCGGGGCCCAGGGGGGGCCAGGGACGCAGGTTTGGAGCAGCTCCTGAGGCCGCGGTGCGGGCGGCTGAATGTGGAGACCACGCCTAGAGCGGAAGGCAGCAGCGAAGTGTCGGGGACACAGCTCAGGACCTGCCAGGCCCGCTCGGCTCTCACTGCACGACGCTGGGCCGGGGGCGTCTCTTCTCTGATCCCCGGCTCCTTGTCTGTAAAGCGGTTGCAAAGCCAGCTGCCTCCCAGGGTTGCGCGGGGTGTGCATACGTTCGATTGAGGCCATTATTGTTTTTGTTACTATCATCATTATTGGGAGGGAGGAAGAGGAGGTGCTGCTTTTGACTGATTTTTAGAGAGAGGAAGGAAGAGAGAGAGAAACATCGATTGGGTGCCTCCTGCACATGCCCTGACCGGGGATGGGACTTGCAACCCAGGTCCATGCCCTTGACCGGGAATCGAACCCCCACCTTCTGGTATATGGGATGACGCTCCAACCAATTGAGCCATCTGGGTCAGGTGCTTTGGAATTTATCACTAAATGACTCCGTGCCCCTCAAGTGCACACTGTGGGATGCGGTGCCCTCCCCTCGTGCTGGAGGGAGACCTCCCTCCAGAATCAGGGCAGTCGGAGCTGGAGGGGCCAGGCGTCCTCATGGGAGTCGGGTGTGGCTGGAACAGCTGCCCAGTGGGGGTGGGCGGGACAGGTCACCCCCTAATGGCCTCCGAGAGGATGGTATAAGAAGCCCCAGGGTGGCATCTCCTCCTGGGACAGTCCCCCATGCCTACCCCCCAGGCGCGGGGAGGGGGCGGGTCCTAGGCGAGGGGTGTCAGGGGACCATCTGGCTGCACACACTCTGGTTTGGAAGGGATGGCCACCATGATGATCTTCTTAGAGAAATTTTAAAGCCACCGGATATGTGTCCACTCATGGCCACGGCAGCTCCACTCGCAATAGTCAACGTGTGGGAGCAGCCAGGTGTCCGTCGACGGGTGATGGGTGAGCAATGTAGTCTACCCACGCAACGGAATATGGCGCAAGCAGTGAAGAGGAGGGACATGCTGACACGTTACCACAGGGATGGACCCCGAGGACATGACACTCAGTGAAATAAGCCAGACACGGAAGGATAAATGCTGGAAGGTTCCAACCATGTGGTCAGATCCACAGCGACAGAAAGGAGGATGCGGGGTGCCAGGGCTGGGGAGGGAGAATGGGGGTGAGTGTTTCATGGGGACAGAGTTTCAGTTTTGCAAGATGAAGCGCGGTGGCGGGCGTGGCGACGGCTGTTCGGCGGCGGTGGCGGTGCCCTTACTGCGCGGAGCTCACACCTGGACGCGGCTGGAGGGTCGATTCTGCGGTGTGCGTTTTACCAAAAAAAAACCTTTGAGTTTTTCTATTATGGGAGTTATTTAGTTTTAACGTCTCACGATGGAAATGTTCAAGCACTTAGCAAAAACGGAGAGAATGGTATAACGATCCCCGTGCGTCCATCACCCCGCAGGACCAGTGGTCACTCATGACCGTCTCCTTTCACCGCTGTCTCCGCCCCTCCCCTCCCTGCCGACTGGGAAGCGGAGACCAGGCATCATATTGTCTCACCCGGAAGCCGTCAGCCTGCAGAGCTGGAAATGGTGGGTCTTTCAAGACGTAACAGCAAGTCATGACACCTACAGACCCAAGTCACCCATTCCTGTCTCAGCGTGTGATATATACATACGTGTATTTCACACATTTACATACTGAAAACGCATAGGTGGTGTCACCGGATTTCCAGTGGTCTCAGTTTATAAGTACATCGCATAAACATAACATATAGCTCTGGTAATATAAATAGAACATACAGCTCTGATACATAGCTCTATTATGGTTTTATTTAATGTAATTAGTGCATTCATGTGCTCGATGTTTAATATGTAATTATGTTTGTGTATTTAACATGATTCCTATCATATAAAATATACACAATACACGCCCACATGTGATCATTTCCATTGGAGTCAGGATCTGAGTGGGGCCACGCGCCGAAGCTGAGGTGTTGGAAATCTCCTCTTCAGTAGCCCCCGCCCGTGCTGCTTTCCCTGCCCCGTGTCTGCGTTGGTCCGGGAGAGCCTCGCTCGGTCCGGGTTTCGCCCACTGCCCCACGGGCTCCTGGCTGCTCTCCGCTCCCTGTGCTTCCTGTAAGTCGGCCTCGGGTCTGGGGCCGGTCGGGGTTCGGGTTCCTGTTTGGGGAAGAGGCCTTCTCGCCGTGCGTTTCCCTCCGGCGTTCTCCTGCTGGGCGGCCAGCAGCTGGCTGCCCGGGATTCTCTGGACTCGGGGATTCGAGGGCTGTGAGGAGCAGACAGCCCGTGTGTCCCTCCTTCCTCATCTGTCAGCGGCACCTCCTCTCTGCTTGGGCACCAGGCGGTCCAGGGTCCGGGGCAGGTAGGACAGTGGTCCACCCTGTCCCTGTACCCACCACCTTCCCGCTCACCTTTTCCTTGACCCGGGAGGAAGCTGAGGTTCTGCGGCAACGTGCAGCCTGGATTCTGGGTCACAAAGCAGAGGGTTGGAAGGGCTCCACTGGGCAAGGGCTAGAAGCTCCCTACTTCCCACTGGTCACTTCTGCAGCGCAAGAGGTGAAAGGGCAGCCTTCACAATGGGACTGACCTTGGGCCGCAGCCTTGACCCTCCCCTTGACCCCGTAGCCCCGGCGATCACTGAGGGGCGTGTTGCTCTCTTAGTCTCAGTGTGTGGACGGGGTTGGCACAGGTCCCAGCAAGCAGTGGGCCTACCTCTCTCCCTACCTCTGGCCGCTCAGGGCGGCCATCCCTGCTGGCTCTCGCCTTGGCCTCTCCGCAGCCTCACCATGTGGGCCCGACCTCCCCCGTCCATGGCCAGTCCCTGTGGAGGTCACTGGAGCCCTCCTGGTTCTCACCCTGAGTGCTGAGCTCCAGCCCTTTGCTGATGTTCTTCATAGGCCCTTGCGTAGGTTCTAGCATTTCATTCAGCAACGGATTTTTTTTTTCTTGAAAGTTTCTTTTTAAACACAATTTAACGGTTTCATTGCGTATAATTGATATGCAATAAAGTGAGCCTATTTAAAGTGTACACTTTAACAATGAACTGATAATTAATTGAGCACCTATTATGTATCAGGTACTTGCTTGACAACCTGTGGAGGCAGAGCAGTTTTTTTTAAAAAACAATATATTTTTGTTGATTTCAGAGAGGAAGGGAGAGGGAGAGAGAGAGAGAGAAACATCAATGATGAGAGGGAATCATTGATCGGCTGCCTCCTGCACACCCCCTACTGGGGATTGGAGCCTGCAATCTGGGCATGTGCCCTTGACTGGAATCGAACCTGGGACCCTTTGGTCCTCAGGCCGACGCTCTATCCACTGAGCCGAACCGACCAGGGCAGGGCAGAGCACTTTTGACGTCAGACAGCCTGGGTCCGAATCCCCGCTGGAATCACATTGGCCAGCAGGGGACCGTGGGCCGCTTCCGTGCCTGTGCGAGGCTCTGATTCTCACCTGTGACACCCCTAGGGGGTCGAGGGGGCCTTACTCTCACGTTTTAGTTCCCTCCTGTGGTGGGATTACAGATGCACCCCTGCTCTTTGCCGGGGGACTTTGCAGGGACTTTGCAGGGCCTCCCACCTCAGTGAGGAGAGGGCGCTCCCAGCCCACGGAGTGTGGGCTTGGCCAGTGACCCGCTTTGGCCAGTCTGATCTGAACGGATTTGATCAAAGCCTCGGTTGCCGTTTGGTTGGGCTTTTGACTTGGCTGCTTGAGCCCCTGGCACGTGCTCCTGAACAAACATGTCCCAGGAGCCCATGGTCCCAGCAGGAGACGCCTGTGGAGCTCACCTGGGTCGTCACTGTGGCTTCAAGCTACATTGAGGCGACCCACAGAATGCAGGAGGAGCACCCCAGTTGACCTGCAAGAGAGGAAGAGAGAGGTGGCAATTCGCTTGATTGGCGAGGTTGTTTGTTAGCAAGCAGTACTGTGGCAGAAGCAGACCAGCCCATGTAAACGATAATAGTACCCGCGACACAGGATTGTCGTGCCCATTAACTGCGATGATACATTTTAAAAATATATTCTGTATATGAAAATGCTTACGTTAGAGTCCGGCATGTAGTAAGTAATTCCACGAATGAGTAGATATTATTATTAACTGGAGCTTTTCTCGTGTAAAAATAAGCATGTTTCTCGATGTGTCACACGTGATCTTGGAGAAGATGACGGTGTGACATCTGCTCCCTCTGGACCTCAGTGTCTCCCTCGGTCAGACGTGGAGCTGGGACCACTGAGCTCCGGGGTCCTCGCGGCTCGGGCCTCCCCGCATCGCATGGAGCCTGAGCATGGGGGCCCGGCCGGGCTCCCGCGCACGCTCCCGCCTCTCCACGCCGCGCTGCTATTTAAAGTGGCGGCGGTTTGGCTCACTCCCTTTTTAAAAACCTTCCCGCACTCAGCCGAGTTCCACAGGGCCAGCTGTCACCACTAAAAATGTCTGCCGTGTGACAACCACCAGGAGGAGGCGGGAGGAGGCAGGAGGCCCCGGATGGGACCGCAGAGTGGCTGGATTTAAAAAAACACACGAAAAACAAAAACCAGCCCTGCAAGGAAGGCACAAAGGCTGGGAGGGGTCGCTTTCCCGCTTTCCCCACCCTCGTGCGCAGGCTCCTGTGGGCAGCAGGCACCCTCCCTGCGGTGCAGTCCCTGCTGCTCTCCAGCCCCCCCCCTCGCCCCTGCAGGGCTCCCAGCACCCCACCCTCATCCCACTCACCGGAGGGAGGCCCGCCCCAGGCTGTCACCCCAGTGAGGGGCTGACACAGGGCTTCCTGGGAGAAGGAGAACGTCGGATGAGCCCCCTCCCCCTTAGTCAAACCTGTGAGACACTGTTTAAGGGATTTAATGTTCACAATAAACTTGAATAGGAGCCTGTTCTCCCCACTTTACAGATCGGGAAACTGAGGCTCCGGGGTGGCGCACCTGGCCCAAGGCAGTTCGCTGTGGGGACGGGGCACGGACAGGCTGGCGGACTCCTGGCTTGGGACGCGCTTGCAGTGCCATCTTGAGCAGGCCGTCCTCTGGCCTCACCCTCCCCAGCTGTGCAATGGGCAGTAGCACACCTGCTTCCCAAAGACGCTGTGAGGATGAAATAGGTCAAGGTGATTGGGGCATAGAACGCGCTGGGAGGTCGGAGCTGGGACAGGGCCCAGGGCAGTCAGATTCCAGAGGCTGAGTTCTTTCCATCTGTGTTTGTGGCCTCTCAGGGCTGCTGGAGGTGGGGTGGTGGGAGGG